GCTATGCAAATAGAACGGAAATTGATTACAACGAAGTGAGAATTGTTTAGATAAGGTAGTCGCGTTTCTCTTATTTGTCCCAAGATAATTGTAGCTTCCAGCTTACATTACAAACTCGAGCCAAAAGGGCGTCCGAAGTTATAAATAAGTTTGTTTTGCTCCCGTTGTTATCGTTATTGTTATAGTTACATCGTATTCGAAAACAATACGCTCTTGCAGTTCGCAAACTGTTGTATGGTCTTCGGCTATTGTGCGCAATATTTGATTAATGGCGTGAGAGACAAGCGAGCGCACACCTACCCAGCGAATGGTATCATAAGAAAAGCTTACGTAATTATACTTTCCATGACGACCACTGTTTTAGTTTGTCACAAGTCGGCGTGGAAAGAGATCGCGAGCCAATTCAACCCCTAGCAAAAACATCGTTCGGATTATCGGAGAGGGTGGCTTGAAGTATCAATGCGGCGTGGAGCAGACGTTAGGTGATGAAGTCTATTGTCGAAACTTTATATCCATTATTGACTTCTGTCAAGCACATTACGCCCTTTTTTTTCCTTTTCACACACGCCCCACCTATCGCATTATCGTCGGCGATATGTTAAAAAACACTTTTAGCGTCGTTAAATGGCGGGAGCGCGCAAATTAATGATACCGGGGCAAATAAAAGTGGAAAACGGCGAGCGGCGCCACGACGTTAATTAGTCGCGGAATGACACCCAAAGGCGTTTTTGGTTTTATTAGACACTGAAAAATGCATCTTTCCGTCACTTTTATGCGAGTTTGAGTAAATTTCCCAGTAAAAATTATGGTAATTCCACGAGAAGGTGACATCTGTCCTGGCGTTACACGAAACTAGACAGTTGCGGTTATTCATTAAATACTGAACTTTTTAGTTTCGGAAACTTTCTTAAAACTTTAACTGTTTTCCCATCAGTCGTCGGGTTTCAAAGACGAAAATACTCCTTGCAAGTTGGAATACTTCGACATCGATAAAATATGATAATTCCGCGGTCGTGTTACATTTATAATAGCACAAAAACTCCTAGTCGGATCAATACCTTGTGTTTTCTGTACCTTTTTCCAATTTTGAAACCTTTGAAGCCTCAAATTCTCAGTATGGCTTTGAAACCTTGATCGCGAGCTTTGCCAGTTCAGACTAGAAACTTCAAGGATGAGTTATTCTGCATATATTTTCAGTTGTAACAAAATATCCTGTATTGTGTGTTATGAAATTCCTCCGTTAGATGTCGCCTGTTGTCGTCCCCATCCTTTGACATTGAATCCTTTCACAATCCCCCTCTCTTTATAAAGGTGTTATTGTTAAGACTGAGGAACTTAATTAATTTACCCCTTATCGACCAGAAACAAGAACCAGAACTTAATCCCTGCATCTCCTACCAAACAGAACCAGACCATGGATCTTTACATCCCAGATTGGAAAGACAGAGATCCTTTTAATATACTTCCGTTTTGTTTTGATTTACAGAGAGCTTTACCTTTATTTCATCATTATTATCTTTGTATGGTTAAAAACCTCCGGACTTCCGGATCAAAATTTGTGCCTGTGTTGACAATAATTACTGTTAATTAGCCTCCCATTTAACACCACGTTCCGGCAATAAAACACGAACAAAAATTCGTTTATTTTGACGCCATTTAATTTGACAGCGTCAAACCTTGGCGGTGTCTCCAGACCCAGCTCAATTGCACCGACTCCGTTTCACCAGTAATGGTCGAGCTAATATTTAAAAAAAAATGACTAGAGCTCCTGTATATGAAGATGATGAAATTTTTGAAAGTAGATCTGGCGGATTGTTTAAGAAGTAATCATAGTTGGTTTGTTCTATTTGTGTTTCCGTATGTGTTTTTCCTCTTGGAAATTTGTGACGTAGTTGCGTAGTTTTCTTTGATTTTATCGGATTTTTAATTTACTCAATTTAGATAAGGTGTTAGAAGTAAGACACATCTGGTCATTTGCTATAAGTGGTTTTATCAGGCGAAAATCAATTAACTCACGTGTTATATCGCTGTTAAGAGATAAGGTATTTCGCGAGCTAAGTTCGGTGTAAGTAGGGACGCGGGACGCGTTCCTTCGAAGCTGACTTTATCAAGTGTAAAATAGCGAAAATCCGACGTGCGAATTTAAAACCGATTCAATTTAGTATGCAATTAATACGGTTTCATAAAATTCCCGCAGACATGCGGCTTTCTCGCTACGATCCAGAATCCAGCATCGACAACTCTTGATTCTAATCCACAAGTCTTAAATATAGGGGTAATCCAGCCTTCCAAAGATGGACGATTCCAGTGGTAATTCTAAACGTTGTATTGTAACTTTTGAACTAGTAGCCCAATCTTGAAACTGTTTGAAATTATGGACTCTACAGGCCACATTCTATAAGAAAATGTTTTTTTCCCGGTCGATCTGAGACAATTTTTTTTTCGGGGCTCAAAAAAAGACAGTGTATAACCTTCCTTTTTTACCAAAAATCGACTACACCAAAATTTCTCGGGAAAAGACTTTTTCTTATTAATTTTGGTGTGTAGAATCCAAAACAATTCGTACTTTTTCGATTAGATTTCTCAATCAAAAGTTATGGACTAGAAACCAATTTCGAAAGAAAATTCAAAGGGCTGTAACTTTTGAACTAGTAGCCCAATCTTGGAACTGTTTGAAATTATGGATTCTACAGGCCACATTCTGTAAGAAAATGTTGTTTTCGGGTCGATCTGAGACAATTTTTTTTGCGGGCCTCAAAAAAAGGCAGTGTATAACCTTCCTTTTTTACCAAAAATCGACTACACCAAAATTTCTCGGGAAAACACTTTTTATTATTAATTTTGGTGCGTAGAATCCAAAACAATTCGTACTTTTTCGATCAGACTTCTCAATCAAAAGTTATAGACTAGAAACCAATTTCGAAAGAAAATTCAAAGCGCTGTAACTTTTGAACTAGTAGCCCAATCTTGGAACTGTTTGAAATTATGGATTCTACAGGCCACATTCTATAAGAAAATTTTTTTCCGGGTCGATCTCAGACAATTTTTTTTTCGGGGCTCAAAAAAAGGCAGTGTATAACCTTCCTTTTTTACCAAAAATCGACTACACCAAAATTTCTCGGAAAAACACTTTTTCTTATTAATTTTGGTGCGTAGAATCCAAAACAATTCGTACTTTTTCGATCAGACTTCTCAATCAAAAGTTATAGACTAGAAACCAATTTCGAAAGAAAATTCAAAGGGCTGTAACTTTTGAACTAGTAGCCCAATCTTGGAACTGTTTGAAATTATGGATTCTACAGGCCACATTCTATAAGAAAATGTTTTTTTCCCGGTCGATCTGAGACAATTTTTTTTCGGGGCTCAAAAAAAGGCAGTGTATAACCTTCCTTTTTTACCAAAAATCGACTACACCAAAATTTCTCGGGAAAACACTTTTTGTTATTAATTTTGGTGCGTAGAATCCAAAACAATTCGTACTTTTTCGATCAGACTTCTCAATCAAAAGTTATAGATTAGAAACCAATTTCGAAAGAAAATTCAAAGGGCTGTACTTGTATCAGTAAGGTAAAGTGTATTTTTCTGTTTGTATTCGGTACAGACCGTTATACCTTATGGATTGGTTGGAATTTTCACTCTGAAACCGTAATTGTAAATATCTTTTTTTTTATTCACCTTTTTTCCACTGTAGCAAAAGAACTTTGAAAAAGGTTTTCATTTAAATTCAATATTAAGTTCAGGAATCTTCTAAATGAGTTACATGCATACGTTATTTCGACCTAAACACAAAAAAGAATGGCGGGACAGCTTGTATATAACAGTACTTTAATTTAATAAGCATGAATATGGTAGATTATTTGCTAAATAAGCCACAGAGTTAGTTTATTGTATTTGAATTGGTGTCTCACTGTCCGTTTATGTTTTTAGAAGTTTTGTACTTTCGTAATTCTTGTTTAAGTTTTATCGCTTTTGTAAATTGTGTATTTAATTGTAAAACGTGAAATTGCGTGTTAAAATGTAGGGACACCTGGTCGTTTGCGGTAAGGAGATTTTTTCGGGCGAAATAACGTGTTCTTATCGCTGTTGCAGGTGTTACGGTGTTTTTTTTAATCCCAAAAGAAGGAAATTGTTTCTAATAGAAGTGGTGTTCCTTTAAATACTGCGGTCAACGTAAAAACTCGGGGTTGCTGCTACTAGTTGATAGTTTCCGTGAAATTTACTAAAATGATGACGGGGAGAAATATACCACTGTTTCACAAAGCATCAAAGAGGCAATGAGAAGGCGGATACATATCCGTAGGTGAGCCGAGTGACAAGATTAGATTAATAACCACCATAATGCCTAAAGAAAGGTGAACGGTTGGGATAATGGATTTCGACGCAATCACCACAGTAGAAAACACCATGACGATGGTTAGGAAGAAGTATCCATCGCCCGTCGGATTGCCCATATTGGAACAGATGGCCACGGTCTAGCGAAAGGTGGCTTAGGACCTCTAAAACGATGGTTGTATAAGAATAGAGTTGTCCGGAAAGGCATCAGGCAGGACAAATGTCTTAAATGACGGGAGATGGGCCACGTTAGTGATGAAAACCTTTTCGAAGGTTTCACATATTAAGGATTCAACCTCCTGAGGCCTGAAACCCCAAGTCAAGTGCTACAAAACATTAACATTGTATGAATTTTGCTTTCATTTTCAGTTCTATAACCAGAAGTGTAAGTGTTAAAGTTTTAAAGTAGAACAGCAGAAATCACTTTCAGTTTTCTGCGTGTGGAAATGGTTTTGACCTTGTAATTGATAAAAATATCTACGTTTTAAGTACAGATCCATTTCCAGATAATTAACCGTGGATTATGGCCGTCTTAAAATTAAGTACTACGATGGCACCAACCTTTATGTATAGATAGCACCAACCTGTACGGAGCTGCAATGATAAAGGATTTGCACGTAGCAATCTCGGTAATGGACAAAAACGAATTCTACCAAAAACATACTTACACATAACGTCGAGCCGCACTTCAATGCTGCTGGACTTCGTCGAGTAGGATTCGTGAACGGCCACGCACCTAAGGGTTCGTCCGTGATTCTCCTTAGATATCGTTAATTCTAGTACTGAGATTGCCATCCACGTTCGCGGATTATCTAATTCGGTCGAATTGGTTTGCCTTCTAGAAGGAGTTATTTCATTCTGATCTGAAAACAAAGACAAATTTATTTATCCGACCAAATTGCATTTCGTTACGAATTGATTTAGGGGCGAATTCAATTTAAGAAAAAAGCGAATGCAAACCTCGTTAAAGAGAGAGTATAAATCAATAAAACAACGGTTTGCTTAAAATCAGAGAATGGAACATAAATCAATCGGTTAAGTGCTTTCGGCTCGTCCGTCGTTAATCTCACGTATGCAACCGGGCACTTTTGTTAGCGCGTGATGAACCCAACAGTAGGCCGAAGTGTGCGTGATGTGATTGATGTTCGAAACTGCCGACAGAAATTAAGGTCCTCGAACAACAGCATCCCCATGGGCATTCCCCTCCAAGATTAGCTCGAGCTAAGGTGGCCCGATGCAAACACCATCAAGGTTAGTTAGTCGTCCATAAATCAAACGTTAACGTAAAAGACTCGTTAATATTATTCACGATCCCGGATCGCCAACTTTGATATCTGCGTTAAATGATCCGAAGACAAATTGATGGCCAAGCATTCGTTTTTGTTTCGACATTCTATTTTCCTTGGAGGACTGTCTCGCGGCCTCAATTGATTTGTTTATAATTTACGACGACAATATCATAAATCGCTAAACAATTTTTACGGAGAGCATCATTAATCTTCGTTGTGAGGGAAAACAGCTGAATCTTTCCCGAAGTGAGAACTCAATCTTTATAAGTGTAATATGAAGCAACTTACGTCGTAATGGATTTATAGAGTTCTGCTCTCCATTTTACAGTATTGAACATTTACGCAACGTCAACGTGATCAAGTCTTTTGTTCGGATGTCCACTCACAGGCAGCGTTTATTTTAGCTTGCTGAGGGGCCTAGCCACAGTTACAAATCCTTTTATGGTTCTCTGATACGATGAACCGGTTTGAAGGAAGGTGAGGACCTTGACGTTCTTCGGTTCCAGAAAATTTTGTGTGGAGGCAACCTTTTTTGGTGTTCCCCATATGTCGTTAGCGCGTTCCGTAACCCGAAAGGCATCCGTCGGAATGGGTACATTTCAGAGGGGCGTTTTTATTTTCTCTCGCGACTGCTTTTAATCGCCCTCAAGTGATGAATTTTAAGGCGCTCGCGAGCGTGTCTTCCGGTCCCGAACGTTCCCAAGAGCTTTAGCGTTTTTTCCGCTCACGATCACTTTTCCCGAGCAATCCCTGCACTGTCGACGTGGGACTCCCGATTTGCCGCAGCCATAGCCTCGGTAGCTGGCGGAGTTTTGGCTTTTGACACCTGCTTCTTTTTCTTCTTTCGACAAACACTGACATCGTGACCTCGAACATTGCAGAAAAAACATCGTTACTTCTTCTCATTTGCGAAGAACCTGAAAAAGCTTAATAAGAAGAAATGCAAAAATTAAGAATGAAAAATGAATTCAAAGAATCGAAAAGAGGAAGTATTTAAAGCAACCTTTCTTCGTATTCTTCTTCTTTCATCCTTGCTGACCCTTTAACTCCAATACGTTTACCATTCGATTCTTATACCTACCCTTGATTTTTGTTTTGTGCCCCTTCCCAATCTTCTTTCTTATGTTCCTATGGCCTCACTTTTTCTCTTCTACTTTCCTCTTTATTTATCGGTCTGAAGCTTATATTCCGTCTTGTCATCTGTCCGTCCCTTCTTCACCCTTCCCTTCTCACTTCTTTTCTCCTCCTTTCTTTCTACTTGTTGCATTGTTGCTTGCCATTAGGGAATGCAATCCCGCAGCAAAATCTCAATCCAGGTATTTGCGGGATCCCGCAAAATTTTAAATAAATTGGCAAATAAGAAATTTTGTGCAGTTAACTTCTGTATTAAAATAAATCGCTAATTATCACAATATTCAACAAAAAAAGTACCTTCAGCCTAACTTAGAACTCAGAAAAACCTCACCTGTAAAGCACAAAAAGGCGAACTTCTAAAGTGCCTCAAAAATCATACTACATTTTTAACGAAAAAGTTTAACAATTATCTTAAAAATAATTTCTCCGTTATGCGTTTCATTAACAAAGCAAACAGAGTCGTTCCCTTGGTCGACAAGTTCCTCAGTCCCGCAAATCCCGCGGGATCCCGCTCCATTTATGTGCGGGATCAATCCCGCAAAAATGCTGCGAGATCCCGGTATTGCATTCCCTAGTTTGGATTCTACACACCAAAATTAATAAGAAAAAGTGTTTTCCCGAGAAATTTTGGTGTGGTCGATTTTTGGTAAAAATGGAAGGTTATACACTGCGTTTTTTTGAGGCTCGAAGAAAAAATTGTCTCAGATCGACTCGGAAAAAAATTTTCTTATAGAAGGTGGCCTGTAGAATCCATAATTTCAAACAGTTCCAAAATTGGGCTACTAGTTCAAAAGTTACGGCCCATTGAATTTTTTTTCGAAATTGGTTTCTAGTCTATAAACTTTGATTAAGAAGTCTGATCGAAAAAGTACGAATTGATGGATTCTACGCACCCAAATGAACAGGAAAATGTGTTTTCCCGAGAAATTTTGGTGTAGTCGATTTTTAGTAAAAAAGGAAGGTTATACACTGCCTTCTTTTGAGCCCCGGAAAGAAAATTGTCCCAGATCGACCCGGAAAACAATTTTCTTATAGAACGTGGCCTGTAGAATCCATAATTTCAAACAGTTCCAAAATTGGGCTACTAGTTCAAAAGTTACAGCCCTTTGAATTTTTTTTTCGAAATTGGTTTCTAGTCTATAACTTTTGATTGAGAAGTCTGATCGAAAAAGTACGAATTGATTTGGATTCTACGCAACCAAATTAATAAGAAAAAGTGTTTTCCCGAGAAATTTTGGTGTAGTCGATTTTTGGTAAAAAAGGAAGGTTATACACTGCCTTTTTTTGAACCCCGAAAAAAAAATTGTCTCAGATCGACCCGGAAAAAAATTTTCTTATAGAATGTGGCCTGTAGAATCCATAATTTTAAACAGTTCCAAGATTGGGCTACTAGTTCAAAAGTTACAGCCCTTTGAATTTTTTTTCGAAATTGGTTTCTAGTCTATAACTTTTGATTGAGAAGTCTGATCGAAAAAGTACGAATTGTTTTGGATTCTACGCACCAAATTAATAAGAAAAAGTGTTTTCCCGAGAAATTTTGGTGTAGTCGATTTTTGGTAAAAAAGGAAGGTTATACACTGCCTTTTTTTGAGCCCGAAAAAAAAAATTGTCTCAGATCGACCCGGAAAAAAAATTTTCTTATAGAATGTGGCCTGTAGAATCCATAATTTCAAACAGTTCCAAGATTGGGCTACTAGTTCAAAGTTACAGCCCTCTGAATTTTTTTTCGAAATTGGTTTCTAGACTATAACTTTTGATTAAGATGTCTGATCGAAAAAGTACGATTTGATTTGGATTCTACGCGCCCAAATTAATAAGAAAAAGTGTTTTCCCGAGAAATTTTGGTGTAGTCGATTTTTGGTAAAAAAGGAAGGATATACGCTGCCTTTTTTTGAGCCCCGAAGAAAAAATTGTCTCAGATCGGCCCGGAAAAAAAATTTTCTTATAGAATGTGGCCTGTAGAATCCATAATTTCAAACAGTTCCAAGATTGGGCTATTAGTTCAAGAGTTACAGCTAGGGAATACAATCCCGCAGCAAAATCTCAATCCCGGTATTTGCGGGATCCTTAGATGTGAATCCCGTGTGATCCCGGTATTTGCGGGATCTCGAAAAATTTTAAATAAATTGGCAAATAAACAATTTTGTGCAGTTAACTTCTGTATTAAAATAAATCGCTAATTATCACAATATTCAACAAAAAAGTACCTTCAGCCTAACTTAGAACTCAAAAAAACCTCACCTGTAAAGCACAAAAAGGCGAACTTCTAAAGTGCCTCAAACATCATAGTACATTTTTAACGAAAAAAGTTAAACAATTATTTTAAAAATAATTTCTCCGTTATACGTTCCATTAACAAAGCAAACAGAGTCGTTCCCTTGGTCGACAAATTCCTCAGTCCCGTAAATCCCGCGGGATCCCGCTCCATTTATGTGCGGGATTAATCCCGCAAAAATGCTGCGGGATCCCGGTATTTCGGGATCCCGCGATCCCGGTATTGCATTCCCTACTTGCCATCTTTGTCATTGTCTAATTGATGAAATTTCCAATTCATAACCAAGAATTACCGATAGGCTGCGGAATTTTTCTCCTTCATTATCTCATACACAACCTACATTGTGCTCATGCTCCTCTTTCTTCATATTTGTATCTCCTACCACTACCACCACTTTTTTATACGGTTTCCTTTTTTAACATACCAGCTCGCAATTTTTCTACCTTTTCCTTCCCTTCTTCACTGATTTACACGCAATAGTCATGCATTAGAGAAGTTACTCGGTGGCCCTTCATTGATCATTCAATTCTTCTTCATCTCTTTCATCTTATATCTCTGCATCTACGTCCTCTTCTTCTTCACTCTGAGTCATCATTTTCCAAAATCTTCTTCCCCTTTCTCTTATTTTATCAAGTAAATGCCCATTGTCGTCTGTATCTTTCTTCTCGTAACACTTCCCTTTCTCCTTTACTCTCTGTATTTGTTTTTATCCTCATATTTATCCTTTTCTGCTTCTCACTTTTTTCTCGTCTTTGATTTTCTTATTCTTTTGTCTCTATTCCAATACCTTTTTTTTTTCATTACAATTAACTGTGTAACCTACTCTCTTGGTACTTCATGTTCTTCTGTTTTTGCCCCCCCCCCCCACTCTTCTTGTTACACAGATATAGCTTTTCCATGTGCCCCTTTTTTCTGCCCTTGCGGTACTCGGGGTGATACAGCATACAACATAAGTTGTGAGCTGCTAGTTCGAGATGCACCCAAAAAGTATCGGTAATCATTTGAGTTTTCCCAACTTCAATACCAGAACTTTTCAAATTTCTCAATTGAAAAACTTTCCGCTTTAAAAGTTACGGAGATCCATCTAATGACTACTTACATAAAATAAATACGAACCTAAAAACCATTTAAGCACAGGTGGCGGATTTCCATAATGCGACACGCATTTAATCGCGGCGACCTCCCCGTGCAGCGCCGTCAAGTTGTGTCCCGGCAGAACTTGGGACGCGTTGTACTCAATTCGCGGTCTCTGCGGCGAAACTGTAACAAAGAGAGAAAAATGATTTCCATTTTTTTTTTGCTGTCGTGCGCCGAACTTTCGTCGAAATTGTGTTTGTCAACTTTATCTATTAAATAATAACACAATTGAGTGATTTGACTCGTGTGTGCCGGCATTCGAAGTTTCAGTTCAAAAGCGAAAACTTATGGAGCGATAGCGGAGAAGTCAGAACTTTGTCAATTTCCTCATTTCTCCGTAAAGTGGCAAGTCGAGTGTAAATTGATATAAACTATTTAGCCGTTCAACTCGAACATACGTTTCCTTTGCCTCTATGCATGGTTTACATTAGCTATCGTATGTACACGTGCACGGGAACAACGTCCAGTTAAAGCCACCAAGGGAGTAATAAATAATAAATAATAAATAATAAATAATAAATAATAAATAATAAATAATAAATAATAAATAATAAATAATAAATAATAAATAATAAATAATAAATAATAAATAATAATTGCGATAAAACTTTGCGAAACTGTTGGACGTATGCCCGCGAAGGTTTCTAACTAAACAGATCGGTATGAAGGCAGGCGGGTAAGCGAGGTGAGGCGGCGCAGCCGCCGAAACCGAGTGTACATCCTATCGAACTAAATGAGATTTTCCAAAGACTATACGAAATTCGCCGGGTCTGCTAATAATAAATAATGCATTCGTGGTCAAGGATTCAGAATTCGGGATAAAGAATTCAAGATTAAGAATTTAAGATTGGTGGATTCTCTGAGCACAAGGTAACATTGAGAGGTAGTTATCCTATCGGATGTTGCAGGCATTTTCTTACAATAAATAAAATTTCAGAATATGTTCAGCGAGGAAGTGTTCTTTCTCATAATGGATTGAGTGTCTGTTTTTTTTTCAAATTTTCACTGGCTACCAGGAATACGTCATGTATAAACAAGAACACTCTAAGCTCAAGAGAAATGTCCTAACAACTTACTATTATTGGTGTTTCAAACTTTTGGATCAAGAGAACATACTATTCGAGGAGGTGTTTCTACTTCTATTTCGCGGAAAACGTAATTGTTTTGGTTATCAGAACATAATCCATGAGGAGGTCAATTTTTATCCCCTTCGATCACCTTATCTTTGTTTAAACTTTGGTATCAAGAGAATTTGTTGTGAGAGTGACTGCTTTTATACCTAATTCACGGAGTATCCGTACCAAACGTTGTAAGTATTTTCTCTGGCTATCAAGGGAACATGAGCTGTAAGCAGATCTTTTGATAAGCACAATAGCAATGGTCAAACACCTCATTCCCATTTAAACTTTTGTATCAGGATATAAATCTTCTCTACCAGGAAAACATGATCTTATGAGAAGGTCCCCTTTAACCCCAAAAGAGGTACTCCACCATTCTTTTTCTTAAACCACGTGTATCACAAAGATATGTTGTTCGATGAGGTGTTTCTGCGCACACATCACCAAGTATTTGTATCAAAAAATTTTTCTGGTCGCCACCAGGGGAACATAAACTATGAGGAGGTCATTCTCTATCATCTCCCTTATTTTTGTTTAATCTTTTATTGTCCCAGGAGATTCAAAGTAAGTGTTTCTGCTTCAAGTTCACCTGTTACTAAAATATGTTGTTTTCCATTTTAACCAGGAGATCATAGTCTACGACAAGATTTTTGTTCTAAATTCAAGAGAAATATTCCAACAGATATTGTATCTGGTAAATATGCTACACAAGAAGGTGTTTTACTCCTAATACACTCGGCGTTAGAAAAATATAAATCTTCTCAGGACACCAGGAGAACATTTTTGAACTTTTATTCTATTATACAGAACCGTTCCACCGTTGTTTTCGTTGAAATTCTGTTATGAGAGGAGGAGTAGCGCACCAACCCTTTTTTTAGCAAAACTTTCGTATAAGGATAGTACCATGTGCGAGATGTTGCTGCTGAGCATCAGTTAAAAAATAATGAAAACATGAAAATAACTTTTTCAAAGCAAGTTATGAGGATCCTATGTTAAAAGTAACTGCTCTAACACTGTACCCTCGTGTATACCTTTCTATCAGGAGAACATGTTATGCGAGTAGGTGTTTCTGCCCACAATTCACAGTGTAGTACGGACCTATGTTCAAGAGAATTAACCATAAAGGCATGTCGACGTAATCAACTGCTGCTCTCCTCTCCGAATCTCCAAATTTATTGAACCTCTTTGGACTGATCCAATGTATCACACTAAAACGATTCATTCCATGCACAGATGAAGTGTTAGGCATTTTCATGTAGGAAATGCTGTGGATCAACAAAAGTGCTCCAAGCACCAAGAGGATCAATTAAACAATTTATCCTTGATTAATGTCTGAAATCAGGAGAGTAGCTGTGAGTAGGTACATTTTTAGCGCATTTTTGCAAAAAATTTTTTTTGTAAAAAGTAGCTTTTAATCTCACTTTGGCTGGCTGGCTGGCTGGCTGGCAGCAAATGTGGGCGCGTAGAAGAACTCTTGTAGAAAGGCAACGGGTGTACGTGTATCTACAGGGCCGTGAAATTTGTCAACCTTAGGGACATGGCTACATGATGTGGGGTTGGCGACATCTGGGCGTCATCCTCGAGCGTAGTATACTAACGTGAAGGATTTTCAGTTTTTTCCTATCTTCTACTACAGTTTTGGTCCGATTCTTTTGAAATTGGTGTCGTCGGAAAGATGTTGTAAACGCGCACAACTCCTGCGTGGCGGAATTTTGTTTTTTGTCATAGGGGCGAAATTAACGACCTTTTGCGAGGCGGCGCGCGCGTCTTCGAGAAGTAGTCAGGCGCCTTTTACCTTCCGTTGCGAACTCACGCGGTTTAACGTTTCGTGAATCTCGAATCGCTGTCTCTCTTTCTCGTGTCGCCAATAGAAGTGAATTGCGAGTGAACGGGACGTCGGAAGTGGGTACCGTCAAAGGGAATGTGGTAGCCCCCGACACGATCTTCCTGATGGTGGAGTCAAATCTTCAAACGCGAATTGCGGGTGAACGGGACGTCGGAAGTGGGTACCGTAAAAGGGAATGTGGTAGCCCGCGACACGATCTCACTGATGGTGGAGTCAAATCTTCAATCGCGAATTGCGGGTGAACGGGACGTCGGAAGGGGGTACCGTCAAAGGAATGTGGTAGCCCCCGACACGATCTCACTGATGGTGGAGTCAAATCTTCAATCGCGAATTGCGGGTGAACGGGACGTCGGAAGGGGGTACCGTCAAAGGAAATGTGGTAGCCCCCGACACGATCTTCCTGATGGTGGAGTCAAATCTTCAAACGCGAATTGCGGGTGAACGGGACGTCGGAAGTGGGTACCGTAAAAGGGAATGTGGTAGCCCGCGACACGATCTCACTGATGGTGGAGTCAAATCTTCAATCGCGAATTGCGGGTGAACGGGACGTCGGAAGGGGGTACCGTCAAAGGGAATGTGGTAGCCCCCGACACGATCTTCCTGATGGTGGAGTCAAATCTTCAAACGCGAATTGCGGGTGAACGGGACGTCGGAAGGGGGTACCGTCAAAGGAATGTGGTAGCCCCCGACACGATCTTCCTGATGGTGGAGTCAAATCTTCAAACGCGAATTGCGGGTGAACGGGACGTCGGAAGGAGGTACCGTCAAAGGGAATGTGGTAGCCCCCGACACGATCTTCCTGATGGTGGAGTCAAATCTTCAAACGCGAATTGCGGGTGAACGGGACGTCGGAAGTGGGTACCGTAAAAGGGAATGTGGTAGCCCGCGACACGATCTCACTGATGGTGGAGTCAAATCTTCAATCGCGAATTGCGGGTGAACGGGACGTCGGAAGGGGGTACCGTCAAAGGAAATGTGGTAGCCCCCGACACGATCTTGCTGATAGTGGAGTCAAATCTTCAAACGCGAATTGCGGGTGAACCGAACGTCGGAAGTAGGTACCGTCAAAGGGAATGTGGTAGCCCCCGACACGATCTTCCTGATGGTGGAGTCAAATCTTTAAAAGCGAATTGCGGGTGCACGAGGAAAGTGGGAAGCGGTTAGTGAATGTAGTAGCCTTCGACAAGATCTGTTATTGATGGTTGAATCGAAAGTGGCTAATAGAATACTGATCTGCCACACAAAAATGCGCTGAAGTCCCTTCGATCTCAAACGAGGACTTTGATAATTTTTTCCTCATTTGTAACACCATCGGGTAAGTTCATGTACATCTCTTCATCTCCATGCAAAAGGCTGTTTTCACATCCAGCTGTTGGAGAAAAGACCAATAGCAACAGTTAATAAAACTCACAACTGGAGCGTTTCAAAATAGTCGAAACCATGCTTCTGTAAATATCCTTTTATAACTAGTCTTGCTTTTGACTCCATCATTTTTTTCAAACCAGACTTTTCGACAATCCTCCATACATTGTTCTTCTCCATTGATGTGAGCTCATCTTCAACTGCTTTGATCCATAAATATTGCGTATATTTATATTTAAATTGCTTGATGGTAAAATATATAGCAAAATACAACCGTCATGTCACATTCTTGACCGGGAGAGAAGTGTCTCTTTTTCCGTTGCGAATAACACTTTTGCACTTATACTCTAATACGTAACACAGTAACAATCACATTGATAATTTGGCGAAGGGAGCGCATTATTATTATTTTGGTGTAGTCGATTTTTGGTAAAAAAGGAAGGATATACACTGCCTTTTTTTGAGGCTCAGATCGACCAGGAAAAAAAATTTTCTTATATCAAGTGGCCTGTAGAATCCCATAATTTCAAACAGTTCTAAGATAGGGCTACTAGTTCAAAAGTTACAGCCCTTTGAATTTTTTTTCGAAATTGGTTTCTAGTCTATAACTTTTGATTGAGAAGTCTGATCGAAAAAGTACAAATTGATTTGGATTCTACGCACCCAAATTAATAAGAAAAGGTGTTTTCCTGAGAAATTTTGGTGTAGTCGATTTTTGGTAAAAAAAAGGAAGGTTATACACTGCCTCCGTTTGAGCTCCGAAAAAAAAAATTGTCTCAGATCGACCCGGAAAAAAAATTTTCTTATAGAATGTGGCCTGTAGAATCCATAATTTCA